CTGGGAAGTATAGGCAGTAGAAGCATGGGAGAGACCATGAAGTGCACTCAAGAACAAGGAAAGCTACCTCAGACCTAAGTCATCAACACACAGTGGAAGAAGCAGAGATACGGTCAATTATCTCAGGGAGACATAGTGGCTCTTGGCCTAGCAAGAAACAACGTGTCCATCAGAAAAGGTGAGTGGTCTTAAGTATACAAGTAGACTTAAAGAACAGTCAGGACCAGTGGCAGGGTGTTTTTAAGCACCACAGGAAGGACTGAGTACCTTGGTCTCTAACTGTGTCTAGCCACAATTATTCAGCAGTGCTTTGCACAGAGGCACTTACCTTAATGCTGACCCTATTTTGCCTAGCAAATGTGAGTTCTTACCCCTAATAATGACTGTCAAAATTCAAATTTCTGCTCTTATCAAAACCAAAATACACCAATTTAGCAACATGTTATCAGGAGAGAAAGAAAGAAAAGCAGCAAGTTATTGTTCGTTTTGTTTACTCTATTAAACTTTATTTAGCATATGCAATAGAACTAAGCATTTTAAAGAGCCTGCCACCCTCACTTGATATTACTAAATTTTCAGATCACACTAACTTCCCTTTTAAAACATTCCACACACTTTAAGCAATCTTTTGATTACAATGCAGCTTTGCAAGCGGCATGCTGATGAAAATAATGGAAAAAAATCAGAGGAAAAAACGACAGAGACAGAGAAATAAAGCAAAGGTAGCAAAATGTTAATAGCTGCCAAATCCAGGTGAAAGGAATGAGTGTTTACTGGACACAACTCCCAACTTTTCTCACATAGGTTTAAATTTTTCAAAATAAAAAAATGAGGAAAGAGAAATAAGATAATTTTCTCAGTAGGCTAATCAAGTTTAGGAATCAAAAATGTCCCTGAAGCTAATTAGAAAAGCCTGAAGAAGATACCATTTTTACTCCTGTTTTGGTAAAGAGAGAAAGAAAGCAAAGCCAATGTTCAAATCTACACGTTTACAATCACATAATATTTCTCTCTCAGCATTCAACAAATATATAAAATTCCTACAAAAACATTTATTTTCTGAATCATCCTTACCTCCTTCTGGTTCTGTACACAATATTATGAACTTTTAAATCTGCAGTGTTCTCTAAACTCTTGTTATTCAGCATGTCGTCTGGTGGACAACAGCATCCCATTACCTATAAACTTGTTAAAAATGCAGAACCTCTGCCCTCAAGCCAAACCTACAGAATCAGATTAAAGCTTGAAAAGCACTGCTCTAGACATTAAAATTCATTTACTATAAACAGAAATCTACTCAAATACCAAGCATCAAAGTCAGTTAAAAATTAGAGAAAATACGTCCATTTGAAAATTTTTAACAGGTTTCCCCCCACCAAGAATTCAGTCTAAACTACAAACTGACCCAAAAGTGTTTGGGGGGTGTGTGGCTGGGGGGTGTCTTGGAGACTTCAGTATTGCACAAAATTTAATCAAAACAATTAATATCTTTTAAAACAATCCTAAAAGAAATAAATTCCAAGCAGTGTGGTTAAAACACAAACATCATTTGACATACTCAATACAACAACACAAAAGATAAACACTGACACATCAACTGACATAAAGTTGCTACTCAATAAATTCAATCTCTGCTGATGATAAACTGTTTTCTAGAAACTTAAAAAAAACCCTGCTTCCTCACTCTAAAAGCATTGCTTTTGTACCTGCAATTTTAACGCTTACTCAGTTCCATTATAATCAAGCAAAAGTCATAAGGTAGTACAACAGAGGTGGGCCTACATCGATCAGCGTGGAGACGACCTTTGACGTAAGCAAGGTCTTAATATAACCCTAACTAAAGGGAATTTAGTATATAGAAAGAAATCTAGGGGCTGGCTCTGTGGCCCAGTGGTTAAGTTCGCGCGCTCCGCTGCGGCGGCCCAGGGTTCGGATCCTGGGCAAGGACATGGCACCGCTCATCAGGCCACGTTGAGGTGGCATCCCACATCCCACAACTAGAACGACCTGCAACTAAGATATACAACTATGTATGGGGGGTTGGGACGATAAAGCAGGAAAAAAAAAAAAAAAGAAGATTGGCAACAGTTGTTAGCTCAGGTGCCAATCTTTAACCAAAGAAAAAAAGAAAGAAAGAAATCCAGGCAATAATTTTCCTCCAATATGGGCCAGGGTCAGAAAGAGTAGGCGCGCTGGATAGAAACACATTGGTAACCTGAACAAATTTAAATTTAAACACCCTTTATAATTTCCTTATTAGCTCTAAGATTCTGTTTTCTATTTGATTTCTCTGACAAACTTTCCATCTGGGAAAAAATGTATGACCTACTAAGGACTCCAACGAGAAATCCAGTTAAAAACAACAAGAATAAACCCATTACATGTTAAAGTAAAAATCATATTTTCATGAAAAATAACTATTTTCCAGAACAACAACAAAAATTTAGGAGGAAGATGGGCATTGTTTTAGTTATGTAAATGTCTTTAATGTCTGGCTTAATAGAAAATAGATGGATTATCTTATTTGCTTCTACATTCAATATTCTACAATGTTTTGGTTAAAATACATAAATATCCAGGCTTACAAAAATACGTAGTTGGAAAAAGTAGTAGTAGCTTAATAGCCTTTTCAGATTTCTGGATATTCTTCTTTGATACTATACCAAATTCCGTAAGTACAGTTTATTATAACATTAATGTGAAATCTGAAACCATATCAATGAACATTTCATACTCTTACAGGAAAATTCCTGATTCTAACCTTGCACTTTGGATGGATCTTTTACACATGCATGACTTTGCAACCTCACGCACTGGTCATGTGGAAAATATTTGTTTACTGAGTTAATGTAGGTTTTCCCCAAATGTTAACACATTTCATTATATAAAATTTCTTAAGAATCAGATTTCTTAACATGATCACCAATCTCATCAGAAAATTCTTTAAGAATAAGAAAGCTGTCAAGCTCATGGTGACAGATATGTGTTTTCCAAAATTCTAATTTTCCCTTAAAAGTTCAAATTTTATCATTGGCAACAAATACCGTCAGTTGTTTTCCTTATAATGAGAGGCTCACTTTGTTTATTTTCAAGAAACTGTCTGACAAATACCCAAGTCTAAACAACCGCAGTTTGCCTGTCAGTCACTCTTTCAAATAAAAGATGTTGTGTCATGAAAAAGTGACTCATTCAGGTTGCAACTCAAACAAAGGCACAAGAGCTTTTCCTTAAGAGAACTATCATATTTGGCATACAGTAAAAGTGTTTTATGTGTACTTTCAATTTCATCACATGGGAGACTAAAAAGACATGTACTTAAGAGTCAAGGTTAATAATAATTAATAATTAGTACTGTTTCATCCAGAAGAGCCTTAGTGAAACTGGTATTCCTTTTACCGCAAGCACGTGGCAGTGAAGAATATAAGGATCACTAGCACAGTTTGATGTACTGCCTTGCTTTGTGCTAAGGTGCCAAAAGTTTTACCCATCATCACTTTTGCAGATCAGTACAAAGGTAAACATAGTGGAAAGGGGAAATAGCATCTTAATATTATTATAGAAATAGATTTGACCTCATGGATCCCTTAAAAGGATTTCGGGAATCCCCATGGTTCCACAGACCACTTTGAAAACCATTACACTATACCAATCATAACAGATTGTAAGCCTTTCCTATCATTATTACAATCTATCAACTCATTCAATCAATAATTACAGAAGGCTTAGTATGTAGTGCCTGCTAGGTACCATAAAGTCTCTGAGTGTCTCTGTGTTATTCACTCATGTAACCGAGCCCCTAGAACAGTGCCTGGCTGGCACATAGCAGGCTCTCAATATTCGTTGTATGAATAAATAAATGGGTAACTATGATATATTTCAACCTAGATTTCAAAATCTTTTAGAGTGCATTACACACACACCCACACACACAAGTAATCTAATTATTGGAAGTATTTTTCAACATGACAGGAAACACTTGTTAGGCAATATGGAACCTCTACCCTTACTACGCTTGGAGTAGTTTTACCGTCATACCATTCTAAACTTAAATTATTATATGTACAGACAGTCCTTGCTTTGCATGGGAACTGAAACTCACGCATATTAGAACCATATCCTCACTCTGTATGGTTCTGTGGTAACTAAAATCTGTGGTAACGTGGTACTCTGCAAAGCACATTAGTGCAAATGATAGGGAAATAAACACCAATGACCCACATACTCTATTTCAGTAAAATAGGAAGGACAGCATCTTAGGAAGAATGGGTGAGCAGCCTTTGGGCAGTGACGGTGAAAGAGTGTCCCTTATGGGAAAGCAAATCAGACACCTAAGTGACTTTTCAAACTGTTAACATACCTCCCTCCCACTACCCACCATGATTTGAGAACTACTGCCTAGTGATCAACTAATAAATGTGTTTCGATCCTTCAGTGGTATTTGAGAATTGCTTGGGGGTTGGAGGATGGAGAATCAAGTTGGTTAGGGGGAAAGAGGGATCAGTAACTTTGGAAAATATGGAGACAAAATTAGATTACAATAAATCTAGCCTGGCTTTTAAAACTACAGGAATTAATATTTCCTGAACTTCTATCTCCTAATCCTTTTCTGAATTCAATCAAAATAGCCTTAGACTTATGAAGCAGTATTAGACTACCCCCTCCCCACTCCCACATCCACATCTACAGTTAGGATTTTGCTCTTCCTATTTGAGATTTTTTTTTACATCATTATAAATATCCAAAAATATTATAAATTATAAACATAGTGTATTCAGTTCCAACAAAAAATAAGCATTTATACATGAAATGTTTTAATGGTTCTGCCAAGGGTTAGGAAGAAATTGGAAGGTATTTTACAGACAAACACTAATGGAAGCTTAGCAATTAAAAAGTATCATGGGAAAAGCAATAAACAACTTCACTTAAAAAAAAATTCTACTCTAAGTCTACTCACTAAGTACCACAAGTGGGACAAATGGGAAATGCTATTTAAACTATACCTTAAAATGTACTGTGATGTTCCAAGGAAGAGCTGAACTTGATGCAAGAAGATCAAATAGCAAACCAATTGGATAATGCCTAAAAATGAAAGATATGTTTTAAGAAAAGAAAGAATAAATATTTAAAGTTATAACTACAACTCCAAAATAAATTTGTAGCACATGTTTTAACATCAAATATCAGGGGTCTTTAACTACAAATCACAGGAGGGTAACATTTTATGCAATGACTTCCCTGGGCTACTATGCTATAGTTTCCAGGCATCAGGTGGTTGTTCCTCTAACCACTTCATTCCCCAGGGAAGCCTCAATATACATAATAGGATTGTCCTAAGTCATCTTTTATCAGCCATGAGCACTGTTACATCACAGTACTGCAGTATCTAATTATCATTCCAGTATTGGTATTGGGCAGGCAGTTTTTTAAAGTTTATTTAAATATATGTTTCAATGTTTAAAACAACTTAAAATTCTAAGCACTGAGAAGAGCACCTGAAGAATACAAGCACCTATTTTGTGGTTATTACTAATAACATTATAGCATATAAATTCCCAGTCTTGTATTTATGCGTACATATCTAAATACAGATTAGGCTTATCCTTTACAAACTGCTATAATTTGCTTTTTTCATATAACGACATGTCAACATTTTCCAAAGTCACTGAATATTCTTCTGCAACCTAAAGTTTTTTTAAAAAAATAAACTTTGGACTTCCTAAATAAGAGAACATTTCCTAATCTAACAATTACTCACCAGTGAAGCAAATTATTTAGCAATAAACAAAGGTTAATAATACAAACCTTGCAGATTTCAATGGAAAAATCTTATTTTTTAAATCATCCTTTTAAAGAATATAAAATAGCTTAACTAGTGAATCAGAATTAAATAATACTCCTAACAAAGCCAGAAAGAGGACTAGTTGGTGTTATGTACAGTCTTGTTCTTTCCCATATAACAGTAAGGTTCTCCTAGATTTAAGAGCTGAAAAATCTGAAAATACATCTAATTTCCTTCAAAATGAGTGATGTAATACATTACCTGATCAAGATTCAAACATTAGCTAATACTATTTATGTCTACTTAAGTCTACATAATATAATTATGGAAATGTCATCAGTCACTGGAGATCACATATTTATTTAGAATGAATTTAGGATGAATGCCCTGCTAGCAAAATACAACGGTGGGTAGCTTTAGTTATAAATGTGTTGTATCTCTTAACGATAACCCTTAAACTTCTCTCTATTTGAAAATCAGCATCTAACATGAATCTTTGATAACTAGAAATGAATCTAAAGGAAATTTTGGACTACCTAAATAACAGAATGTTTCCTTCAAGAAATTCTGAAACCATAAAAAACTCTGGCCTCAGTCAAAAACTAAAATAAAAATAAATGAAAAAAAAACCAAAACTATTGCACTATAGACATATTATAGATTCTATCCAATTCTGGTCCTTCTCTCTGAATTCTTAAAATTGTATAAGCTCTACAAAATGCCCTGTACTTTTATAAAATAGACATTTTTTAGTCTTCATTCTTTTTTTTTTTTTTTCAGAATGTTCCTCTCAGGTATCTGCAGCTAGGTTAAGAATGAACGTGGGTACTTAAACTAACAGAGCATACCGCTTTCCAAATTCTACGCAGCACTGCAGATGTAATTACAGAACCCCTTTAACAAATCTAAGTAGATCTATTGGATACATTCAGCAGTAATTTTATAAAATAACTAGCAATTCAGTGTTGTACACATTTTCTGGCATTCACAAATGAAACTGCAAGCAAATTCTAAACTTAAATGTTATCTTAAAGCAGTTTAAAATGTCATATAAAATCAAGTATAATTTTTAACATAAATAATAAGTATTTGGGTCAGAATACAAGTTACACATAAAAAGACAATCTTCAATTACTTTTTACCTTCAATACTAAAAAAAAGACTGTAAGTGCACAAAATCTTGAACAAAGTGGATAATAAATAGCTATTGAATGCATAAATCAATAAAGATCCACAGAATAGTTAAATCCTTGATATACCATAAAGACCCAATGGACCCAATTTTAGGTTATGAGTTTCTGTTCTGAGCAGTTCAAACTATTTTAGGATACTTCATAACCTTTATTCTTTCTTAAAGGTCTTCCAAAAAGCAGAGAAAACTCATTTTAAAAAAAAAGGAGTAAAACTTATTATATCTAATAATTGCCATACGGATCCACTGGCCCCTTTTATAAATCTAAGCTATATCATGAGATCTTAGTGATCCTATTTTTTCCTATATCTTGAAACATTTGGCTATTTCATCATTCTAGGAATTATTTCAGCATTATTCATCAATTATTCCCAACTATGCTAAAAAAAGACTAATAAGAATATGGAAGAATAATGGCATGCCTAGAAGGATGATATAATAATGCATCCTTTTCCATTTTCTTACTGTTTTGCCTAAAATATTATATCATATTTCAAGAAAGTATAAAATAAGGATGCAGACCTCACCTTTGGAGACTGCTTTTAGCTATCATTAATACAGTTTAAAATTCACAATCTCTTACTTTCCACCTATAATGGGAAAGAAAAGAAACTGACAGAGGAAGATGTTACACAATTATTAGATAAATTAGATTTCTGCAAAGAGACAGAGAGCAGTACTTTAGACTTTAATGATAATGGTAAAACTGATCATTTAAGTGAAATCTCAGACTATGAGTCGTTAGATGATGATATCCTAGATGAATTTTATAGAACTCAAGAACTAATGAATGACCAATGTATTTCTCAGGACATATGGTATTCTTATCCACTTATCATTCAACAGAAAGAATTTAATCATATGAGATTTTATGACACGAACCTGGACCATTCTGTTTTGCTAAAAGGATGTGTGACAGTATTCTTTCATCTTTTATGCCATTTGTGTATTGCAATTACCAGTGGGCAAATATGCTAAAGGCAAATTTGTACAAAAAATAACTGGAAGGAATTAGATGATGTAGAAAAGAAAAGTATTGATTGGACTGATCATTCTAACTGGTGTTTACTAAAAAGGGAAATTCAATCCAAGCACTGCTGTTAAATGCAAGAAGAGCCAGAAATAATGATAAGCTATAACCTCTTAAGAGGTCTATCTGAATGTATAACAACTAACGAGCAGATACTTGCATTCAGAGGACGTTGCCCATTTCAGGTACATATACATTCAAAACCAGGAAAACATGGAGTGAAAGTCTGAATTTGCTGTATTTAAATGCTTATTAAAATTTCTAATAAAACTGTTACATACTACTCCTTTATTCTTACTTCTCTAAGTTATTTATAAAGTGACTTAAATATATACATTATTTTAAAGTTCATTGTTCTTAGATGGTAAATGACAACTTTTTTCCTGATATCCTAAGGATTAGGATGGAAATTTAATTATGGTTTCTAAAACATATTTAAATATAAATAATATATAATATTAATGTAAAAGCATTCTAACTATATAATGGCCAATAATTATCCTGTAACAATCTTTAAAAATAAAAGCCAGAAAAACCCAGGAGTAAAATAACTATTCACTTATTTCTATTGTCAAAGTCCACAGCTCATACGTAGCTCAATCCAGATGTTTATGTCAGAATAATTTTGAGACAAGGATACTAACTCCAAACAAATATACTATCTGAATTAACAGATTCCAAGATTGCTTACTGCTGACAAATCTATTAATATCCAAGAAAATATATAAAAGAAAACAGAACTGGCAAAAATTAAAAGTACTGAATTTCTCTTTATGCCATAATCCGAGTTACATTAAGGATTTCAAAAGTACTAATTTGCACAACTCCTCTGAACAGATATTCTATGTAGTTTTGTCAAGAGCCTCCTAACCCACAACACAGAAACCACATAAGCCATAACTATAAGTAAATCACAATGTAGCCATTTGGCTGTTACGTTGTTACTTCTGCCAATCTAACCTAAATGTAATAGAAAAGGAAGTGGTGAGGATCTGAATCTGGAATATATTCCAGAAGAGGACCCAACTAGCCAAAGGTCCGATCTATTGCCCTATAAAAATTGACTACACCAGAATATTGAGTGTTAGGTCTATTTTCACATTTGATTTGTTTTCTTTCTCTTCCTTAAATTGCTCTAATCTTTTCTAAATTCAATTCTCAAAATGACTATTTTCTCTTTCTTTGCATAAATTGTTTCTTCTTTACCCTTTCGTTACTGCTAAAATACATATATACATACTGGCACACGTGTGGCAATAATGGATATGCTCTGAAGTCAGCCAAGGGTGCTTATTCTAATCCAAACATCAGCTGGCAAACCAGAATTCTGAGATCAGCATTGAAAGCAATCTTCCCCAAGTGCTAGAGAACTATTGTCCCACTCTATTTCATTGAAACAAACCCATCCTATTCATAAGTTTGCTACATTAGCGATTCACTGGAAACAGGATTACATTTCGTTGAATAAAAAAGGCTGTAACTCATATGTAAACCAAAGTAATTTAATGATTACAATCAATTTTGCCTTACTCCATCTATGGTACAAAACAACTGTGGACTAGCACGGTGTTTCATAGCTTTCTAAACCTATTCTTACATATGACAAAGTACAACACTAACCAAGGGGATACCACATATATAAAATGCTAAGCAACCACAATTTCAGAAATCTAATTTACAGAATCATTTATAAAATTCTAGAAATTCACAACCTTAGAAAAATGATGAGACATAAGAGACAAGAGCCTGCACAGTACTGATGATTAAGATGTTAAAGTTATCTTGTTAAAATTTACTTTTGAAGTCACATAGCTACAGTATTGAATTCTCATTCACTCTATTATGTCTAAGATCAACATCAGTATTTGCTTTTTTTTTAATTCGAAAGGTAGTTTCAACTTCTTAGTTTCAATAACCAGTCTTGAAAATAAGCCAATTTACACAAAATAATAATATCACATTAGAGATACTCGTTTTATAGTTGACAAAAAGAAAAGCTTTTTCTAAATTTTGCACCTGAAGGCCTAAGATCTAACCAATATTAGAGTATACTAACAAAGTATTCTTCAGAAGAACCAGAAACTGTTCTCTTAAAATACGTCTAACATAAAAGTAACAAATACAAATTTTGAGCACTTGAGATACGGTAACAGGAAACCTCACCCTTTAAAATGCAATGTTAGAGCACCCTCTGGTGACTAAACTCAAATCACTCCAACAAAGGTGCCTTACATCTTAGATCCACATTTTCCATTTCTCATGTAATTTTTAAAAGTTTTTGAGGCAAAGGACTGTAGAGGATACAGCACTAATCAGATAAAATCTCCTTAGAATCTCTATAAATGAACAATATATTAAGTATTCACTATGTGTATAACACTGTTCTCAAATATTTTTCTATTCTAATATGGACAAATTCACAAAAGCAATTAGAGAGAACATAAGGATTTGGAGAAAACAACAACTAACAAATAGTATATCAGCATATGTCACAGAAAGAGCCCTAAACTGAGACTCAAAGTCTGGTCCTACTCGCTCATTTGAGTAGGTTATTTTATTTGAGCCTCAGCTTTCTCAACAAAAAGAAGAAACTAATTTAGATTCATTCATTCATTGAACATTTACTTAGCACTTGTTACGTGCACTGATTAAGGTACAAAAACACTGCTCAAACATCTCGTGCAGATAATTAAACAACTATAATAACAATAAATACGAACAGGAGAAGGAGTTATACAGGGAGAAGGAATATCAATTTATGCTTCTTTCTTTTATGAATTGTCTAAACTGGTGTTTGATTTCCTTTCTCACTTGAATTTAAAACTCCAAAGAATCAAATATAAGAAAGAGGTCATCTTCCTGCTCAAACAAACGCTCCTCTACTCAAAAGTCCAAGCCCTACACGGTTTCAGTGGTAGCTGCTTCCCTACAAAGATCATCCTATCCCATGAAGCCCCCTGCTTAGATGCCAGCTAGATACTGAGAGCGTATTCTCAGGAAGAGAATTCTTTCAAGACACGAAAAAATTGCTATTGTTTGGTTGGGAGCAAAGAGAGAAAAGAAGACTTAGCCTCTAGGCCCTGAATTACACTCACACCTCTGGAAGTTATTCATTCCTCAACTACATGGAGTACCTAACAAAACTACAGGAAAAGTTGTATCAAAAGCCATTAAAAACAATGAGCTTATAGCCAGACATAGCTATGAGAGTGATATCATGCATAAAAAGTTAACACCCCAAAAACTAAAGTGAAGATACATGAACACAATTACTTTCATATAAGCTCTCTAAAAGGGAAAACAAATTCACCCTTGAATGAAAGACTTTCAGAAGAGATAAATGCTGACAAAGTAGCAACATGATATCTTGGAGTCAAAATCATTACTCTGTACTAACAGGGAGAAATAGATCCAAACATTATTTATTGATATCATATGTAGAATACAAACCTATAGAATACAAATCATATCAAATACAAAAATAATCACCACACAGGATAGATTAAAACAGCAGCTGAAAGACAATGACTTAACAATTATTTACTATAAAAGCTAAACTGAAGTTTCTCATTTTTTCCAGAGTTTCTCAAGTGGGGGTGGTTTTGCACCCTCTGCCCCAGGACATTTGGCAACATTTTTTATTATCACAACTGGCGGGAGTGCTACTATCGCTAGTAGGAAGAGGACAGGGTTTTGCTGCTAAAAATCCTACAATGTACAGGGTAGCCCTCCCAATACAAAGAATGATCCGGGTCAAAATGTCAACAGGGCCCTTGTTGAGAAACTGTACTTTACAATGATAAAACTGAAACCTTTAGCGTCAGTCGCATGAATTCTTAGGATAATCTGCAACTAATACACACAAAGCCATTTCAATATCCAACTCTAACACGCATAGAACTGTGAAGAACGTAGCTGTTTCCTATGGCTACTCACCCACAATCTCCCCCTCCTTCTTTCCCTCTCCTCCTGATCCTCGCCCCTTAGCCTTCTTTCAAGTCACCTTCCCATTCCAAAACCTCCAACTGTTCTGAGAAATAAAAAACAAAAACACTGACTTGTCTACGCTGCCTGAAGTCTAGAACTATTCAAGAGTCAGAATGAGTCTGATACATGACCATGAAGCTCAGAACTGTTTCGAATAAAAATCGAACGCTATAAAAAGAGAACCTTGTCATCCCTTCCCAGAACCACATCAAAAGGTCAGATAGAGACATGACCCATACCTCAACACAAAACGTCATCTCGTAGGTTTCTAAACCATTATGAAAAATCTACTCACTCTTGGGAATTCATCAGCACAACGTGAGTTCCGAAAAGTTCATCCTTGTTTCCAAGCAATCCTTGGATTCAAGTCAGCTGCGCTTATTAAACACCTACTAGCTTCCTTTTGTTAGAGCCTCTCTTAAAACTTCTCATTTTAATATTCCCAGATTCAGAGAACAAGTCCATTTTTAACCTATTTATAATTTCATATTTCATTTCAATCTTGACTCAGTCTGTATCTTCTTCGTTCAACTACATCCATATGGCAGCATTTCGATGCGTACATCCCAGCATACCTTGAACTACTTTTTTATATTCTTCTCTCTGTAATTTCTCCAGTTTCAATAAATAGTTTTGGAAGCACAATGAACAAAACTTCCAGTAACAGAGGAAGTACAAAAATACATCATCTATACATGGATAAGCCCGGATTTAGAATTTATTTTCAATATCTTTCTTAAAAATGATATAATATGAAAATTATTTTTCATATAAAAAGGAAATAAATATATTTTAAATACTAAACCAGGCTAGATAAGATGTGCTTACAGCACAGAGATCAACTTAATGTGGCAATCAGAAAGATGCCACTTTAGGTTATCATGTCTATCTAAAAATCTGTTATAAAGATTTTGGAGACAGAAGTAAACTGAATAGTCACAGAGTGACTTATTCATAAGAGATTTTTAAATATATCTGCAAAAAAAACTCAAAAACCATAACCAAGTATACTATTAATACGCCATATAAAAATCTACTGCTGAAAATATACAAATCTGTCCAGTCTCCCATGCATCCAAATAGAAGGCAGAAATATTTTCAATAAAATACTCTAAAAATGGTTTAAAATTCACTGTATTATATGAGCTAGACTAGCGATTTGTTTCTTTATAAAACTTTTTAAAAATTGCATCAGGGCACTATACCTTCTTAAAGCTAGCATGTACTCAATGCTTAATAATGCAGAAAAATTCACTCACCATTTCAGTGGTGTGCCTTCATATTCAAACCATATCTCACTAATGTCTTCTTGTCTCATAACCTTCTGAAAGTGCTTTTTCACTTTGTCAGTTACCAACGTCAAATAACTTACTCTTGGCAAAAGCAACTGAAATGAAAATTTGTAAAACCATATTTATTTACTATTTAAAAAAATATATACTAAATAGGTTTTTGAATTTTAAGGAAAAACAGCCATGTTTTTGCATTATTTTGAATAGTCTACACAAAGTCAACTTTTTACAGAAAATCAAAGGTTAAAGATGAAGACGTTTTAAAATTTCTTATGAGATCATTACTTTAAACACAGCTTAAAGCATAAATGCCTAGAATAAACAACACAAATCTATGTACAATCTTTCCGTAATACTTTTCTCCAAATAAAAATACAACGTAATCAGATGTCATACTATTTAGGATAATTATTGGTTCTATCAAATTTAACTTAAAAATTAACATGATTCACCTGAGTTAATTAAACTGCTCTGAGAAAATGATTAACTCACTCCTAATACATCTTGACTTATCAATAAAGACTTCTCAACTGGTCCATCATGTTTTGATAAATTTACTGTGTATTAGATTAGGTGCAATGAAGAACATCAAGACAAAGACATAATCTGTCCTCTTCTACATGAGGCTAAAGTAAAGTGGAGGTAAAAACAAACAAAAAAACCCATAAAAAATACTTACAAAAATACTTCACGGCAGCAACAGAAAGACCTTTAAAGGTCAAAGAGAAATTTTCATTTTATGAACAACAGGGGCCCACTACTCTACCATGAATAAAAAATGGCATGATGAGAAACACTACTTGACGAATATTCCAGTAATTGTACCTACAAGACTGAAAGAAGAGATTACAAACTCTTAAAGAAATACTACACGAGGAGATGAGGAATGAAAGAATGGAAAAGTAGGGAAGGTCTGGAAATCAGAACAGATTTTGGTCATTAATAATGAAGAAATCGAAGGAGAGAAATAAGTTAAAGATGACTGACTTTTGACGTACACATTTAAATCTTTATAGTACAATAAAGCACAAGCTTAAGGGGTATAATGCTAGTAAACTGGCGATTCTGCCACCGTCAGTGAGCTTCCTCAATCCTGTCCTTGGAGCTGGACCTATGTGGACCTCGGACAGCGAAAAGTCTGGGAGGGAATGTTGCGCTAGGCAAAGCTTCAACTGGACTAGAATAGTTTTTCCTCCCCAGGAAAGGTACCAGAAAGAAAACATAAGAGAGCATTTTGGAAAACTCGTTAGGATTTATATAAAGGTACCACAGGTATATAAAAGGAGGAAAGTGGCAAAAATTCATGTTTTTTCCTCCTATGCAGCAGACACTAGACATTTCTTGCTCTCCTAAGTTTGTCTTTTGCTGGTAAAATTTCGTTACTCTCTTTCAACCGCTTCTGTGAGTCTAACTCTGCATCATTTCGCATGCTGCTGACTCAGAGTTAGGTCTTTTGATCAGTAAATCGAGTAGAACCACTGGCCAGAGGAACATATACAAAGAGAAATATTCTGGTTAAAGCAACTGATACTTAATGACTGAAGATCAAGACAACAGGCCCCAACTAGGGAAGAGAACATGACAGTGGTCCTAGGGACCACAGGGAAGGGGGTTGTGGAAGGCAGGTGGAATGCGCCAGTATGCAGCAGGGAGTACTATCACCTCTATTTTACATACAGCTTAAAAAACTTAAATAACTTGGATGAAATGTGTTTATAGACTGTAAAGGCAAGAACTGGAAGCCTCCCTCTGCAATTGTTTTCAGTTAGAAAGGGACATCAGCAAAATCATATTCTATTAAATAAACGGCAAAGGAAAGATTCATTAGAGTCAGAAATGACAGAAGCAAAGACAGATGTAACATGGAAGTCTCTAAGAAAATTAAAACAGCACAGGAAATTAGCCATTTTTTAAAAATAAATAAGTATAATCTATTAGTCTAATAAGTTCTATATTAGGAAGTTCAGAGCCTTAATTTAAAATGTCTGCTGGGTATTACACAGTAATGCCTTCTGTAGAGAATGATATTAACCTATGGAGACTGGGAGAAGGAAGACTCGTAAGGACTAGTAGGTGTGGATATTAGCTCCTGATCCTTGAGTGTGTTGTACTACATACCTAGGGTTCAATCAAAGTTTCTGAAAAATTCACAAATGATTTTCATGAAACAAAAACTTCCTTATAATAAGGAACGAGGAACATTAGAAAATAAGCTCCATTAAGACAGGGTTCTTCACCTGTTCTGTTCACTGCTACATTCTCATGCCTAAAATAGTGCCTGCTTTATAGTAGGCACACAATAAATATTTGCTGGATGAATCAGAGATACCAAAGGTTAAGTGGGACAAAGGGCCAAAAACAAGTTAAAAAAAATAGTGCTCAGGGGCCAGTCTGGTGACATAGTGGTTAGGTTCATGCAGTCCACTTTCGTGGCCAGGGGTTTGCGGGTTCGGATCCCAGTTGCAGACCTACACATCACTCATCAGGCCATGCTGTGGCGGTGTCCCACATACCAAGTGGAGGAGGGTTGGCATGGCTGTTAGGTCAGGGACAATCTTCCTCAAGCAAAAAGAGGAGGACGGGTAACAGATGTTAGCTCAGAGCCAATCCTCCTCACCAAAAAAAAGACTGCCCATTCTTTTTTGTTTTTTTTTTTTTTGTGAGGAAGACTGGCCCTCAGCTAATAGCCAAGCCAGTCTTCCTCTATTCTTTAGTACGCAGTTAGTAGCCAGCACAGCATGGCCACTAACACAGCGGTGTAGGTCTACACCTGGGAACTGAAGCCAGGCCGCCAATGTGGAGCAAGAATGCCCATTCTTAAGACAAAATCTACACTGAAATGTAGTTGGAAACTCCTGTTCCAAATTGGCCTGTGGGAGTCATGTGTAACTAATATAAATATCTATAGTAGCACTAAGAAATAACTGTAAGATTTAAGAATGACTATACTAGAGTAGGTACAGATGGGATTTATCTAGTAAGTATTTAAATAGGTAAAAATGAAAAGAAAGTAGCAGCAAAAAGACATCATTCTGCCTTCTACATCCAGACTGTCCCACTCATTCTTTTCTTAGGTATATCTCACTGGTTCACTTTAAGTTCTTTTTTTTTAATTGCGGTAAAATGTACCTAGCGTAAAATTTACCATTTTAACCATTTTTAAGTATACAGTTCAGTGGCATTAAATAGATTCACCCTCTTGTGCAGCCGTCACCATTATCCATCTCCAGGATGTTTCATGATGCCAAACTCAAGTTCTGTATCTATTAGACAATAACTCCACCATTCTCCTCTTCTCCAGGCCCTTGGTAATCACTTTTCTACTTTCTGTCTCTTTGAATTAGACTATTCTAGGTACCTCATGTAAGTGGAATCATAAAATATTTATCCTTTTGTGTCTGGCTTATTTCACTTCAATTAATGTCTTCAAGATTCTTAACTGGGGGCCGGCCCCATGGCCAAGTGGTTAAGTTCGCGCACTCCCCTCCGGTGGCCGAGGGTTTCGCCAGTTTGGATCCTGGGCGCAGACATGGCACCACTCATCAAGTCATGCTGAGGCGGCGTCCCACATGCCACAACTAGAAGGACCCACAACTAAAAATATGCAACTATATACCGGGGGGCTTTGGGGAGAAAAAGGAAAAATAAAATCTTAAAAAAAAAAAAAGGATTCTTAACTTGTTTTAATATGAAAAGGATTAACCCCCTCTGGTGGGGATATTGTCAGCTACATGGAATCTTTTGTTCTCATTCCTCATTTAGCAGTGTCAAGTACCCGCTGAGTATGACACAAGTGATTCATTTTTTTTCTATACAGCTTGTAAGAAATACGTTTTACATAGTTGTATAGATTGCTTATGTTTCTGAAAAAGGTGCCTGTAATATTGTTTAAGCCGAATCCTACTCTGTCCACCAATTTTCAATTAAGAAATTAGAGATTTACTTATCTAGAATTAAAATATAGAATTCTGTTCCACTTCAACTGGGAGGCTTCACACTAGGCATGAAGATAGAACACTGAGACAGCAAGAGTTCTTCCTCTCAAGGGCTTACAGGCTAGAGAGGAAGACAGAGGGAAAAACAAAGTTACAAACGTGATGAATGCCGGGCGGAAGTAAAGACTGTAACAAGAGCAAGCAGCAAAGGAGTTTAAAGGAATCTGGGGCTGCGGGAGGGCCTTGCCAGGAAGTCTATTTTAGGGCAAGAGCCAAAAGGTAAACAGGAGTGAGCCCACCAAGGGTGGGTATGGATGTTCAGGTGTGAGTAGGGGTGGGAGATACTGCTGCTCACTCCAGACAGAGGAAACTGCGATAAGGCATGGAGCAACACCAAAAGACAAAGATTAGCACATTTGAGGGACTATAAGAAGTTGACTATGACAGGAATTTAGAGGGTTGAGACAGAACAGTACTGAGGAAGCGAGGGACCAGATCAGAGTACTTTGTAAACTACTTTAAGGATCCTAAAGATGATGAAAAGCTACTAAAGGTTTTAAGCAGGCAGGTGACAAGATCAGATATGTGTTTTGAAAAGATTTCTCCAACTGCAGACTAGAAAATGGAAAGAGGGCAAGACCGAAACCAGGGAAGTTAGTACTATGCAATCCATCAGTTTTTAAGAAGTGGTCTGAACTACACTGTAGCAGTGGGTATGAAAGGAACTGCATAAGTTTGAGAGATATTTGAGATGTAAAATCAGACGGACTAAGTTACTGACCAAGTGTCAGGGATATGGGAGAAAAAAGCAACAAAAGATGAACTGGTAAGAGTACTCAACTGGTAAGAGTACTTAATTAGCTGGATGATAGGTCTACTTGCCAAAATAGGAAGGGAAGATGGCAGATGACCAGGCTGTCTGGGGGTAAAGAAAGAGTACAGTTTCAAACACACTCAGTTTGAGTTCCTTCAAGACATCTAAGTGAGGCTATCCAGCAGACAGACATATAGGACTGGAGCTCAGCAGAAAAATCTTCGGAGTTGTCAAGATGAAAATGCTCAAGAAATACACAAAAATGGATGAGAGCTCTAGGGGGAAAAAACATGAAGTGGAAAAAAAAAAAAAAAGGCAAAGCTTCAAGGAATGCCAACACTGAGGAACAAACAGAGGAGGGAAACGTGGCAAAGGAGACCACAAAAGACTGGAACACTAGGAATATGAGGCAGTGCAGAGCAAGAGACGGTGCCACAAAATGCAGCAAAGAGCCAATAACATCAAATACTGCTGAGAGATCAAGCAAATGAAAATTCAAAAACAGACTCTAGGTTTGGCAAAAAAAGACGTCATTAGTGACTTTGGCAAGAAGAGTTCTGTTGGAGTAGTGGGAAAAGTGATTACAGTGAAGTAAGTAGTGGGAGGGGGGAAGGAGATAATGAGTATGGACAACCTTTTTAATAAGTCTGGCCGTGAAGGGAAAACAAGAGGTTGAAAGGGAGGTGGGGTCAACAGAGGGTTGTTTTAGGATAGGCAGGATTTAAGACAACATAAATGCTGCAAAGAAGGATCCAGTAGGCTGAAGAGGTTGAAAGTAAAATAAATAGAGAAGGCAGGAATGGCGGTCGGAGAATATTAGAAACCACCAGCTTCTGAGAAGGCAGGAGACGATCAAGAACAAGATGGAAGGTTGGGCCATGCCTAGGAGGAAGGACACCTCTTCTACTAAAACCAGAGACAAGGAGAAGTAAATGAGTATTAGCACACACAGGTTTTGCAGACTTAATGACAGAAAGTTAAGGGAGGTCCCATCACATGGTTTCTATTTTCTTTGTGAAGTAGGAAGGGAGGTCACCTGTTAAGAGTGAAAGATGAGGTCAGGTGTCAGAGAAATAACCATAATGGAGAAGAACAGAGACAGCTGACTAAGGAAACATAAAAGGACTGCTGGGTAATGTTCAGGATCCACTCCAACTGCTGACCATGTGTCTGATGGTGTGATTTCCTCTGGTAAAAAGTCATACAATATGAATGCAAATTAGTTTCTATGTTTTTATATTGGATGATCTAAATGAAAAGCAATAGTTCAAATGAATATAACAGAAACAACACAAACTGAAAAGTTGACTACTTTCCAACAAATTTCCTTCCTAATATTCCCCGCAAAATAAGATATAGTTCTCAACTATATACATATAGGATGTAGGCTGAAAGAAGATTTATGCAGAGGCAACAAATCAAAATGCAGAAGCAAGCAGGAATATATTTAACATGAATATGCTTTTCCAATGGAAACAGAAAATTCCAGAAGACTCTTTGAATAATAATTAAATTATAAATTTGGTATGAGTAATTTTAAAACCTAGTCTCTGAGAAATAAGCTATAAGCATTACAAAAAGTAACCTACATTCCCATACATCTATCCTTATTGCACCGACACTGAACATGAATGGAATGAATTCAGGCCCTGTTGACAACCTTGTCACATCACCTCACCTGAGCTTTGAGAATGTCTGGGAAAGAGGTCTACCAGCTCTCAGGCTGTGACATTTTTACCTCATTTCATCCAGAATCTTTAAAACATCATCGTTATTATAAACCAAAGCAATTAAAAATACTTTCAAGCTTAATTTACAACCAAGACACAGGAGAACTAAAACCACTTTGGCACTAAAATGCTCACCTATAATTCTAAGACTAACCATTGCTGACGTTTTCGTCAATTTTCTTCCTGTATGTATTGACTTATGCTTAAGTATGTATGTATTTTTAAGAGCAAAATCTGGATTATGCTACATGGTTTTAAACCCCAGTTTCTTGTTTAATATTTATTATATGCCTGTCACACAATATTCTTCAAAAACATAATCATAATGACTATATTGGAGTTTCTTTTGGGTGAAGAATTAGGAAGAAATCAAGAAAAAAACCACGATTACCTATTAGACAAGACAATCCTCTTCCTCCAACGGTTATCCCCAACACCTTTTGCCATTTTCAGTTCAATTAGAAACAGCTAGAATCAACCTACACTCTAGTTCTCCCAACAGTCTTTTCATATTTAAACAGATTTGCATATAAAGAAGGGAAAATATTGTATTCTTTACTTGGATTTTTTTTAACTGCAGGACGTATGTCAAACGTCATATTCTGATTTAAAAGTAAACAGATCTAAATTATGTTTCTCAGTTTTTGCCACTTTGATCAACTCTAGACACACGTATTCCTTTGTTTAGATACTATTAGAAAGCCATCCAATGTTAAAAGTTTTCATTAAAATAGCAAAAAACTATTTTAGAAACAAAACATAAATGATATCCTAAACCATATTACAGAAGAATAGAAAAAATACATCTAACAAATTAAATGGTCCTAAAAATGAACTATTGACCACGCTTTGTTGTCAACTATGAAAGTTTTTCTAAAGGCAGAAAGAAAACTGTTGAGATTTCCAAAGTTAAAATGACTCAAACATATATAATCAAATATGATTACCTGAGTACTGGTAACAAAAAACTACCCAATTCCTCTGAAATCATCATTTTCAGGAAGAAAACCCAAAGAGACAAAACAAAATTCCAATGTGAATGTGGGGAGACTTTCATGCACTGAGTATCTACCAGCTGCATGATTTATGTCAGATGCTGAGGATGTGCAGAGATAAATGAAACCGTTCCTGTACCCAAAAAGTTAGTGAATGGGCTCCTTAAGCAACTTCCTCCAGCAGCCTGACTTCCCACCACTGGAGCAGGCTAAGGAGCAGTGCTGCCTCTCAAACAGAGGAGGGAGAAAGCCAAGGGCAGGCTTTATTAAAGAGAAACAAGAAACGGTCCAGCACCACAAATACATTTCCACTTTTCCAGGTCCTCTTGGGCAAACAGTATGTGTACCTGAGACACAAAAAGAAAAAACTAAAATAATGACAGCTGAGAATGTCTCCTAATGCCTATTAGGGGCTAGTCAGCAAATAGGCAGGATACTATTATCTCTGATGGACAGATCTGTAAGTTTGGATTATATATGCACTTAGGGAAAAAAAGCAGGCTAAAATCAGAAGATATTTGATACTCTTTTTTAAAACAGATAATACACTAACTCAAACAAGTCTACATATAGCAATTTATGTTATTAAATAATATATTTCATATAGTATATATTTGTTCATGAACACGAAAACACATACATTCATATGTTCATTGAGCTATAAAAAAGAATTTATTGGGGGCCAGCCCATGGCATAGTGGTTAAGTTCATGCACTCCACTTTGGCAGCCCAGGGTTTGCCAGTGTGGATCCCGGGCAGACCTATACACTGCTCATCAAGCCATACCGCGGCAGCACCCCACATATAAAATAGAGGAAGACTGGCATAGATGTTAGCTCGGGGCCAATGTAACTCAGGGCCAATCTTCCTCACCACTGCCCCCTCCAAAAAAAGAATCTGTTAAACAGTTGCTTGGAACCACCTAAATACAAAAGAATCAAATCTGAACCTATTATTTTCAAAATATCATCCTGCTAAAAAACAGCATATAACTTATGATCTCATTATCCTATATTATATATGCTTATGTGCATAAGAATAAGAAAGTCAAGAAGGTCCTACATCAGCATGTGAACAGTGGGGTTTTTTCCTCTGGGTGGTAGAGTTACAGGTAATTTTTATTTTCTTCTTTTTGCTCACCTGTGTTTTCTAATAAGCTTTCTTCTATAATAAGCTGTATTAAGTGTTTATAAAATGTTGAAAACCAGCCTCCAGGTGCTTAGAGCTTTATTTACAAAAATGGACAACGTTACATATCCCATTTACCACCATCAACATACTTACATAATATGGTTCTGCCTCCCGTTCAGTTATCTCATCCTGATACAGGGTGAAGCAAGTTGGAATTCGTCCAAACCACACATCTCGAAGCACATCTTTGTCATCTGTCATTCTTCCAGTGGTTAAAGCAGTACATATAGGCTAAATTCTTTTATCAACCAAAGCCAAACTGAAAATAAAATGAAGAGCATTAGTCAGATCCTTGCAAGAATGAATGAACCTGCTCTGAAACAAAGAAAGATTACAGGAAAAAATGAATGCCATAAAGATTATTCACTTCAAAAAATTGTGTGATCAGCATTCTTTAGAATGAATGCAAAAATGAGTACAACAAATTCTAAATGCAGAGCTACTATTTGCTTAAAGAGATCACAGAAGTAACCAATTCAAAATTACATATACTAATGTATGCAACTAATGAACCACAGCCAAAGTGAAACTACACTTGCATCATTCTCACATGCCCCAAGAGTCTACTGCTCATCTAAAGTGAACTCTTCAACTATGCCCCATGGTTCCTTACAGCCCAACTCCAAAATACCATCCCCATAATTATCTCTGCCCCATCTAATATATTCAGCCTCTCCTACTCCAGATAGTTCTGACTCTTCCTGCAAAAAAACACATCTCTCTCACCTTGGAAAAAATCTTTGTATGAATCTATTTCCATTCTAAATTTCATCCTGTCTACGATTTGATTCCACCAATATTTCCAGTCTTATTTACTACACTTTTTATAAACCCTCTAGCAAAACTGGTCCCTTAAACATTTTGCTGTCGCACCATTCCCCAACTAGTATGCTCTTCTCTCACTTGTTTAAATCCTATGCACTCTGCAAATCCAGCTCACAATCTTCTGCCCCAATGAAACAGTAAACGCTTCTACTTTGAGCTCTTATAATATTCCCTATACAATACATATAGCACTATATCTGCAAAGTGAAATATTCTGGGTGTGGCAGAAGGACATGACTTTTGACCTCCATAAATATCCAAGCATCTTCCAGAAGTAATATTCTACAACTGGATAACATCACAATATACTGCGTGAGTAAATGCTGAAAGAAATACTGTTGGCACCTGGATACTGAGAGCCAATATCCTTCTACTTGTATATTTATTTATATATATCTCATCTTTCTTTTTTTTTTTAATTCTTTCTCTTTTTGAGGAAGATTAGCCCTGAGCTAACATCTGCTGCCAATCCTCCTCTTTTTGCTGAGGAAGACTGGCCCTGAGCTAACATCCATGCCCATCTTCCTCTACTTTATATGTGGGACACCTGCCACAGCATGGCTTGCCAAGCAGTGCCATGTCCACACCGGGGATCCGAACCGGCGAACCCCAGGCCGCCAAAGCAGAACGTGCGAACTTAACCGATGCGCCACCAGGCCGGCCCCTATATCTCATCTTTCATAGGCTACCTAATTCATAATTTATCATAAAGTATCTTATGGAAACATTTTAAATGTTTAGCCAAATATCAATTATTAACACTGAGAGCTTTTTGCTCTCTTTTCTCTTCCACTGAACAAGGCCAAAATCAGTCAATGACCAATGCCAAAATGTTATTAAATATATTTTATATATTTAACAGATATATAATATATAAAATATTAACATTTTATATATTTGTAGAGTTCTGAATTTTCTATCACTATTCTTTTTTTATTTTTTTAGATTTTTTTTTATTTTTCCTTTTTCTCCCCAAAGCCCCCCAGTACACAGTTGTATATATATTTTAGTTGTGAGTTCTTCTAGTTGTGGTACACGGGATGCTGCCTCAGCATGGCCCAATGAGTGGTGCCATGTCTGCGCCCAGGATTCGAACCGGCCAAACTGTGGGCAGCTGAAGCGGAGTGCGCAAACTCAACCACTCGGCCACAGGTCCAGCCCTGTATCATTATTCTCAAATGCACTGTGGAGGTCAATTGGACAATGTCATCTACAGGTAAACAAACGGGAAGAGGTGAAAAAATCTGCCCAACATAACAAGAACACTAAGTAACAGTCAAACCAGGGTAAGAACTCTGGACACCTGAACTGAGTTCAGTGCTCTTTCCACACACCACAATGTTTCAACTTGTATTAAAATATATTCATAAAAGACAACATTTTAAGCAAATGATACATATATTCAAACTCCACATAACTCCACCTCCATAGGCTTCAAATTCAAACAACATATTGAGTTTCTGAACTCTACAGAAAATTCCGAAGTTTACAAATCACACAAAATTAACTCCTTGAAAAGAGGAAAGACCTCACTACTTCCTGATTACATTAATAGCTTGTTCTTTATGAGTAAATTTACTGGTGGCAGAAAATAAGGAAATCTGAATTATGACAAAAAAGTAAATCTAAACTTGAGTCTGATAAAGGTGGTAAACAGTGGTTTCTGTAACCATGATACATCCAATTAACCAAGAGCTAAAACTGAGATCCTCTTGCTCACAAAGAAAAAAAAGTTGAGGCAAAGAGCTACTTTCCTAAGAGATCTTAAAAAGATTCAAATACAATTTTAAAGTTAAAAGTTACAATCAATATTGTCACACTGGATGATTTTTCTTCCTGAGGAAAAATACATAGAAAATCTAATTCACAAGAAAATCAAAAATTGAAGTGGGTATGACCACCTAAGGAAAGGCATTTCTATGGGCATCTCTCCAACCACTGTCCTCTCAGGAAGGAATAATAATCTGGCCAGATTCCAGGACATCACTTGAGCCTCATTTATTGACAGGCAGGGGTCACCAGAAAGCAAAGTATCATGCACGTGGGTGTGGCTCTCTTCTCCCCCTCTACACTGCCAGATGACAGCACTTGACCCTTGTGTTCTTTCTTTCAGTGGCATTTTCTTCTGCCTCTTCCTTCCATGTGTCAGAACAGTAGAAAGAAATGGCCAATATCTCCCTCTTCTCTTTGTTCTGGGAGACTCTCCCCAACAGTGATACAAGTATGGACTTCTCTTTCACTGGTTTTGTACCTAAAATCCCACTGCAGAACTTTGGTAAGCTGGGCTGGACCATAAGACTTTACCAAAGTTCTGGGGTAGGACTTAAGATACAAAACCAGTGAAAGATAAATTGGTACCTTATTTCCCATATACCATTGTTTCTTATGTGTATATTTCTTGTAGGACCTCAAGGGACGAGCTAAGCCAAGGCAGCTAAAGGTGTAATGTGGTAGAGTCAATGCAGATTTCACAAAACAAACAGAAACTACAAAACAGATTTACAAAAAACTGCAAACAAGGCTACTTACTGCCTCAAAATACACAGACCCAAATTTACAGGATCACAAAATGTTAATCTTTCAATATTTATATATGTTCATTTATAACGAATTATGTAAGAAAGCATGTCTCTAGTCTAATGAATACTCATAACTAAAAAATGTACAAGAAAAACTGGCTGATACATGAATACAATTAAAGGATGTGAGTATTCAATCAGCCTTTTCAAAAGAGACGCAGAAAAACAAAATTTAACTCAAGAGGCACTACAAAGTGAGGGTTCAAAATGTAGACTACGGAGCCAGACTGCCTAGATTCAAAACCTAGCTCCACCACTTACTGTGATCTCAAGTAAGTCACAACTTCTCTGTGTCTCAGTTTTCTTATCTATAAAATTGGAATAACAGGCCTTACCACATAACATACAAAAACTAAATTAATACACATAAAGCACTTAGAACAATGCCTATAATATAGTACTATAAAGTGTATCTATCACCATAATTTACAGAACCAACAAGAGCATGTCTCAAAAAACGTTTAAAAGTCATTAAGACTTCAAGAAGCAAGAATAATCAAAAGCACTATATAGGGGCCGGCCCAGTGGCGCAGTGGTTAAGTGTACACATTCTGCTTCGGCGGCCTGGGGTTCACCGGTTTGCATCCCGGATGTGGACATGGCACCGCTTGGCAAGCCATGCTGTGGTAGGCGTCCCACATATAAAGTGGAGGAAGATGGGCACGGACGTTAGCTCAGGGCCAGTCTTCCTCAGCGAAAAGAAGAGGATTGGCAGCAGTTAGCTCAGGGCTAATCTACCCCACACACATACAAAAAAAGCATTACATAACATAAATAGGAATTATAAGAGTAAAGGAAAATAAAATTATGCATTGAGCATTGCTAATGACACGGACTACAGACTCAATAAACATTTGATCACTTGATATGCCCAACTCTGTGGGCAGGCCCTGAGGGCATACAAGATGATGACGATGGTGATAATAAAAATAACAACTTTTTAAAACCTCAGGCATGGGGCCAGCCCGGTGGTGCAGCGGTTAAGTTCCCACATTCTGCTTTGGCAGCCCGGGGTTCGCTAGTTCGGATCCTGGGTACAGACATGGCACCGCTTGGCAAGCCATGCTGTGGCAGGTGTCCCACATATAAAGTAGAGGGAAATGGGCACGGATGTTAGCTCAGGGCTAATCTTCCTCAAAATAAATAAATAAATAAATAAAACCTCAGGCACTGCTCAGAAGGTATTATCTCTGAATCTACTAAACGTATTATGTATGCACTTTCATTTCCTTTTCCATGGCTTTGCTCATGCTGGTGGTCCCGTACTCTAAGGTAGCCTTCCTCACCTTCTCTTCCAACTTAGACATCCTGCAGGATCCAGCTCAAAATAACCTTTCTTCAATGCATGACTCAGGCAGAACCTTTGTTTCCTCATCGCACCTTTACTTTTCCTCTACTACAGCACTTATAAACTTATAGGAAAGTTTTATCTGATTTCCAATCTCGTATTGTTTCCATCATACCATACCGACTGCCAACATCCCTTCCAACTCCAAAATGTCCACGGTTCTAATTAAATGTTACTTTGGGGGAGCTTTCATAAGGGAGAAGGGAAGAGGAAAGAAGTAAAATATTAATATATCCTATAGGTCTAGGGAAGAATTTTAAAGATATGGAACTTGAAGAATGGGGAGAATATGGACAGGCAAAGAGAAGATGACAAATATTCCAAGCAGGGCAAAACAACATCAGCAAAGGCAGGAAGTGTGCCAACTTTTTAGGAAACTTTGGGTTGGCAAGAGTAGTAGATAATGAAAGAGCTGACACAGTGACATGTTTTAATATTACTCACAATCCTAGGCAAGGCACTACTTCACTAAGCCTCCATGTCCTTACCTGTAAAATTCACCAGGTCGTTCTGGAAAAAAAAAGTCTATAAAGTGTCTGACATGGTACTGGACACACAGTAAGTGCTGAGAGATAAAAGCAATTACTATTCCTTTAATGTCAAATCTGTAAAGTGAGACTAGATCATGAAGCATGCCAAATGGAAGATGGTGGGTTCGCAACATCAACAAGGCTAGAGAGCCTATAAGGTTTTTATAATGGTGAAATAAAACCAATTATCTGGTAGCAGTGCACAAAAGGACATCCCGAGTCACAGAGAGGTTGGCCAGGAAGCAATTTCAGCAATTAAGGCATATACTAATGAGTGCCTGACCTAGACTGGTAACAGCAGATAGACGAGAGACAGATATGAGGTTTTTCCAAGGAAGAATGAAAGAAGTTGGTGAAAACTTTGCTAAGGGATAAAGAATAAGGACAGGGAAGATTTAAACGCTGACAGCAGGCAATACAGTAAGGTAGTTAAGGGGTTTTGAAATCAGACTGACATGGGTTTAAACCCTGACTTCCACCTATAAGCTGTGTGTCCTTGAATAACAAACCTGACATCTCTGAACCTCATATTTGCAAACTGAAGATAATTCTAATTTCAGGGGGCTGTTGGGTGTTTACCACCTGACAACCACTCAATAAATGGTATATGTATTTAACATATGGTTTCCTCATGCTTCCATGGCCCCCCTGCTTGAACACCCTCTTTCGGCCAACTCTTAATTCTCTAAGAGTCAGCTTAACATCAGCTCCTTGGGAAGCCTTCCACCAAGCAACCTCCAATCTAATGACTTCTATAATAGCCTGTTATAACCATGCACTGCAGTTATGTTTATCTTATCTCTCTCTTGCCCTTCCCCACATTGAACTGTGAGTTCCTCGACAGCAGAAATTGAGTCATATTTACCTTAGTATCCCCAATATTAGCATAATGAGTATAGAGCAGGCTCTGGAATTTCTGTGAAACAACTGAAAAAATATAAATATCTAAAATGTATAAATCCAAAAGTTATACTATCTACTTAGGAAAGTTTTCCACCTAAACTCTTTTCCAAATCAGTACAATCACACGTTAAATTCAGCAAATTTCATTATTTTAGAAGAATATTTTTCCCTCTCATACACACACTACACTATCATTGCCATGCATCCAATTTGAAGGCAATGCTTTGGAAGCATAGAAATCCCAACCTATGATGCAGTATACTAGAAGTAAGCTTGTTGAGGGCAGGTGCTGCTACTTCTTGACTGCTGTATTCTCTGCATCTAATTCCAGGCCTGAAATAAAGCAGGTGCTCAACCAACAACATGGAGCGAACAGCACAGTGAGTATGATAAAAATATAACGCACCATTAACAGTCCCTTTCACATTACCAACTAAGAAAAGCTAACCTATTACCTGAAGCTATTTTGCTGACAAAATCCTCAGCTACCTAGAAATTACTTAAACTATCAAATACCTACTAGTAGTGAACTTGTAAACATCTAAAAATAATAAGCTACGCTGGCTGGTCTCCCTTTAAATTCACGAACACTGACCTCAAAAGTGGGCCCTGAGTACTGCCCAGTGTTTCTACATTTCCCTAGTCCATTTATTCTCCCACTGTCCTAGATCGACCCTTCAAACCTTTTCTCTCTCCAAATTTTCACATCTCCTTCCTGATTCTCTCAGCTAATGATCTGACTTTCTATTTCCTTCTATGCTATTACTAAACAGCCCCACCCGCACCCTGGGGCATAGTTCCTTAACCTCTCCAACCTCCAAACGCTGAAGTGCCCCACCGGCTCAGTCCTTGAATCCTGCCTTTGGAGATCTCTGGCGGCTTTACATATCACTTATACATTAACGATTTCCTCATTTATACATTAACGATTTCCACATTTGCATCTTCAGCCCAGGCTTCTTTTGAACTCCAATGCATACATACTACTGCATATTGACATTTCATTTGAAAATTTAGCCTGTGCAAAACTGAGAACGATTTCAGATCTTCCACCCTCCTCTCCCTATTACTCTGTGGTCTTCCCCAAATCACTAAGTGGTAACTTGAGTTGCTCAGACCATAAACGTTGGAGTCATCCTTGACCCCTCTTCACATCTGATGGCTCTAGCTTAGACACAAGTCTAGAATCTGGCCATTTCTCACCACCTTTACTATTATCACACTGATCCAGTTCACCATGACCTTTAACCTGGATACATGTAATAGCCTAGTAACAGGTCTCATCATTTCTGCCTTTACTGTAGACAGACAATGTAGCAATCAGAAAGATGCTTTTAAAAACAAGTCAGGTAAGTTTACTCCTTTACTCAAAACCCTACCACCACATTCAAAGTAAAAACTAAAAGTTCTTACAAACTGCTACATGAACAGCCCCATTCTGACCTGACTACCTATTTCTCTCCCCTCTGGCTCACTCAGTTCCAACCAAACAGGCTAGTGTGTTCCCAGCTCAAGGACTCTGTGGTTGTTCGATGGCTGGTTCCACTATACCCACAGGGCACCCTTCTTTATCACTTTCAGGTCTCTGCTCAAGTATCTTTTCTAAGGCCACCACAGCAGTTTCCTTTCTCTGCAGGTCACCAGCATGCCCCACTCACCTTCACTCCTTTTTTTTCTCTCTAGCACCTTTCACCACCTGACATATATTTTAATTAATTTCTATATTAATGTCTCCCCCCCAAAGTGAATTTCATGATGGCAAGAAATTTTATTGTTTCATTCACCATTTGTTTTGTTTACTTGTTCAGTGCCTGGCATATAAGAGGCACTCAGTATTTGTTAAATTAACAAAGCTAACCCACACTTGAAATGTGTACATTATTCTAAAAACTCATAACCATATAGTACCATTCTGTTCACTTCCCCCAATTTTAACCAGCATACCTTTGAGCACTGACTTAACACCCTCAAATCTAGTGTAAAATTCTAAAATTCCCCCCAACTACTACCCTCAGCCCAACATCGTTACCTTCAAATTCAAAATTCAACCAACAACTCCCCCTATGGAAATCACAAATAATTCCATTCCGATTAAGTAGCCACAGTCCCAAAGACTCTTAGATTTATCAAGGAAATTCTGGAAGGCTTTGGACGTTCAGTGCTGTTTGAGAGTCTCGGGGTTCTGACTCTCGCTCAAGACATGCTGTGCCTCCCCACCCCTCAGAAAAATCTAGAACCAATCCAGTTTTCCTAGGTTCCTCAAGTTCAGGTCTGATTTGAAAACAATCCAAACTACAATTAAAGTATGTGAATGTGCTCTGCCAACAGAAAATGGCTTTGTCAGCACTAAATATTATCATTAAAATGAGAATGAATGCCACTGAGAATGGAGGAGATACCCATCGAATTCGGACAGAATCGACTGCCTGTAAAGTAACCGATTTAAATAACTGTTCCACGAAAATGCAGGTCCTGAACTAAACTCCAGAGCCTGCGATAAGACCCTGGGCTTCCTACCTTAGGAGGGACCAAACCACACTCCCAGAGAGACCGCACAGGCTACACCCTCCGGCCGGCCCAGGGCCGGGGGGCGGCGTCTGGCCAACCCCACCTCCCCCGGAGGAACCACCTTCCCCCGCCACCGCCCCAGGGAGCGCTTCTCTCGCCCGCCACTCGCCCCTCCTTCTTACCACACCTACCTGGCACCTCCCCAACCCTTCTCCTCCGGGCCCTTCCTCACCCTGGGGAGACACACACATACACATACCCTACCAGAAGCGCCGGCTCCTCCTCCGGCTTCCTGCACCGGTGAAGACGCCTGGGTCCTGGGCTGCGGCCAGGCGGCGGCGCAGGGTGCCTGACACTCAGTCCCGCAGAGGCGCGCGAGCCAGGAGTCCCGAGAGCCCGCGCAGCCGCAGAAGACACCAGCGCCGAGGTCGCAGCCTAGCCCTGCTGCACTTCCGCCCTCCGGGATCCAGCGAATTCAACCCGCAGCGCCGCGCAGCCCTGGAAGCCCACCGCAAGTCCAGTCACCCTCGGCGCCCGGAGATGACGTCACGGGACCCCACGTGGCCCGCGCTCCGCCCTCCGAGTTTGGCCCAACCCCGCAAGGAGACCCGAGCAGCCCTTGAGCATGCGCAGACGGAGCTGAGTTTATGAAGGTGGGGTCAAATCGCTGGCAAGTTCGCAGCTTCTACCCTCTTAGAGGAGTCCCGCGCATGTGGCATAGTCGTTGGTGTTTGGGGAGGTTAACGTGTCAGTTCTGTAAGACAGGGACTTTTTTTTTTAAGATTTTTTATTTTTTTCCTTTTTCTCCCCAAAGCCTGCCGGTACATAGTTGTATATTCTTCATTGTGGGTCCTTCTAGTTGTGGCATGTGGGACGCTGCCTCAGCGTGGTTTGATGAGCAGTGCCATGTCCGCGCCCAGGATTCGAACTAACGAAACACTGGACCGCCTGCAGCGGAGCGCGCGAACTTAACCACTCGGCCATGGGGCCAGCCCCAAGACAGGGACTTTTAAAAATACTGAATAATATTAATAAAACGGTTTTCAAAATGTTTTCATATCTATTTTCTCGTTTGATCTTCTCAACTTTGTCAGAGCCACGGCAGGGATTAATAGCCATATTTAACAGAAGAACTAAAATACAAGAGTACAGAAGCCCTCCCATCCACCCAACAACTTCCTGTTTGTGAAAATAACAAGCAATTCGTAAACTTAGTCCTAAAGAGTGTTTCAGTTGGATCTATTGATGAGGATTTTAGGCTAGTTATTTTTAAAACTACAGATGAGAAGCAGACTCCGAGGACTGGAATTTTGCTTGCCCTTTTGAGAGACATTTGCATTTGTGAAGGAAGGGGGGGATGAGCTTGTAGGGACCTGAAATTGGCCACCCCAAGATAGGTCTCTTTGGCATCAGGATTGTTTTGGGCTGATTGCTTTTGATAAACTGGGACAGGGAGGGAGGCTCTGGGGAATGGAACTTGCCCTTGTTAGGACACATTTACATTTGTAAGGTAAATCTCTATCTGTAAAAGGTGCCTCCCTCTCTACCAGGAGGAAAAAGAGAGATGACCTTATCCCTAGAAACTCTTAATGGGGAAGGCAAGAACTTAAGTTGGTTGCTGTCTGGCACTCATGTAACTGATTTAGGGTGGTGGCTTCTGACATTTACTTAACCCGATTTGATTCTTGTCTAAAAGTCATGGGATCACCCAACGACCAGACCCCACCTGCACTGATACCATTTTAACTTTCTTCATGTTCTTTCCTTTGTCTTGTAAAGAAATGACCCACATACCCATGCCTTATAAAATTAGCCCTAACGCTCAACTCGGGGCAGCAGCAGGAGCTCTGACTGCCCGTGGGTCCTGTCCCCACGCACCAACTCTGCCTGCCCATGGGTCCTGTCCCCATGCCAGCGGGGGCAGCAGAAGCGGCAGCAGCAGAAGCTCTGACTGCCCATGGGCCCTGTCCCCATGCTATTCCATACTATTCTCTAAATAAAAGAGCACTACTGCCAGATCTTGAGAGCCCAAGAAATCTTTCTTTCGACTCTTCGGCTCACCGACCCCACATCCCTATCTAGAAGTCTTGCAAATCATTTAACGTTTTTCTCTTAATTACGCATACCTTACAACATAATACTATGCATGTTAAGTACATACTGTGCTGAGATTCAAAATAGTTTCCTAATAATTGGAAAGATTGGGAAATCCTAGTAATAGCCACAGGATTCCTTTAAAAAGAATCTTCTTGGAGGTTAACTAGTCTAATGATTTTCAAATGGTGAATCACAACCCATTGGTGGATCATCAAATCAAGTTAGTGGATCACGACTAGCAGTTTTAAAATGATAGAAAATAAAATATTGGCATGCTTTCACACATGTTAAGGAAAATACTGTTTGCTGAAATATTTACTTCAGTATGTGATGTACAGTGGATAGGAATGTGAATTACATTTCTTGGTATGGATAGCAGTCAAAAATGTTTGAAAGCCACAGTTGGTCCACTCCACGTACTCAATGCAGCAATCTCTAAAGCATCCCCAACAGACAGACATTAGCCTCTGTAAAAAAAACTCTTTGGGCGCCAGCCCAGTGGCACAGTGGTTAAGTGTGCACATTCCACTTCTCGGCAGCCCGGGGTTTGCCGGTTCAGATCCCGGGTGCAGACATGGCACAGCTTGGCACGCAATGCTGTGGTAGGCATCTCACATATAAAGTGGAGGAAGATGGGCACAGTTGTTAGCTCAGGGCCAGTCTTCCTCAGCAAAAAGAGGAGGATTCTTTTATCTCCAACCTGCTAGTTCAGAGGATGAGTTAGTTAAGCCAGATTTAATTTTTCTACTTCAGCTATAGCTCCTCTGACTGTGCTCCAACCAATTACCCTGTCTCCCTGATCTCCCTCACTGCTGGTTTCTTCCTTCAGCTTATAGACATGCTCAAGTGTTCTCCTATCCTGCTAAAAGCCTTCCATTAACCTTCATCACTTCTTTTTTTTGAGGAAGATTAGCCCTGAGCTAACTACTGCCAATCCTCCTCTTTTTGCTGAGGAAGACTGGCCCTGAGCTAACTACTGCCAATCCTCCTCTTTTTGCTGAGGAAGACTGGCCCTGAGCTAACATCCATGCCCATCCTCCTCTACTTTATAGGTGGGACGCCTACCACAGCATGACTTTTGCCAAGCGGTGCCTTATCCCCACCTGGGGTCAAAACATGCAAACTTAACTGCTGCCACGGGGCTGGCCACCTTCATCACTTCTTATCTAAACTAGCAGGATAGCCTCCTAATAGGTCTCCTTGCCTCCAGCTTGTTCCACTTGCCCCAGGGGCCATCTATATTTGACTTTGACTTCAACCAGAGTGGATTATCTAAGATGCACTCTAACCATGTCATTCAATACTTAAAACCTTTTAGTGATTCCTTCTGGGCAAATTCTTAGTTTCTTATTCTGATCAACAAGGCCTTCTATGACTAGTTCCTTCCTTCTAGACTCACTTCCCTATACTCCCTGCCTTCAAACTCCCATAGTATCAAACATTTTGCAATTCTATGCACTCAGGCTACGTCTTGCTTCTTGCCATTGTTCTCGCTGTCCCTACTGCCTAAAATGCTATCCCTTACCAGACGCATCGCTAAATCCCTTTCTCCCCACTCACTCCCCAAGACTCAGTTCAAGTGTTGGAAAGTTTTCCCTGATCCACCCAATCTGGGGTAGATGTTCTTCATAGTTTCCTCAATCATTTTTTGAATCCCAATGCCAACACAATGCCTGGCATCCAATAAATGTTTGTTGAAATAAACTAAGCTGAACACGAGCTTTCTTCCATGATTCCCATCACTTTCGCCTTAGGAATTAAATTCTTCCTCATAGCTTACAGTTTAAGTAGAAAGCTGTGCTTTCCTTTATTACTTTATCAGTTTCAAAATTATCAGCAAGGAAAGTTGAAAATGATTGAGGTACAATGCTCTTAGCAGAGTGGGCGTCCCACAGTCGCCTGGCCATCCGGGGCCTCCATCACTACCACATCCTGTCTCAGCGCCAGTTTTGTGAGCTGCGTGGGGAAGGGATTGCTGCTTGTTCCATCTGGCTGCACAGCCTGCAGCGTAGTCCCAGAACACAATCACATCTCTGTTCTTCTATCCTTTTAGCCTTATTCAAACAATACCTCTCAAATAATGGAGGATGGAAACTCCTAGAAAACAGGGATGACTTCCTATATATGAAAGCCTGCAAACGGAAGTTCCACGGACTGGAACTGAACCACTGGTATGACCCTGTGATGTACTCTAACCTACTTTGGCATACACACTGTGATATCATGTATGTGCTAGAAGCTTCAGTTCTAATTGCCCAAACTGAGAATTCCATGCTCCAGAGGTGATTTGGGACACACACATCAGAAAGATCACTCTCCAGAAGCAGCTATCCCAAGAATGTCTGTTATCACTATCTTCATCCACACCACATGGTTTGCTAATTAGCATAGTGAATGTCAGAGATGGACTTTTACTTTCGACTTGCTGAAAAGTATGATAAATCTTAAAAATGGAGTCTCATCTATGAAATTAGCAGTATTTAAGATATATGGATTGACTAAAACATTTTAGAGATTCTGGTCATCCTTGCATGAATAGAATATAGGAATCCACGAGCCTGCAGCTTGATTCCTAAATTTTCTTATGTCTTCTGTAAAGGCTATGGAATTCAGTCTCAGGAAGGGTGTTACATCTGCCTTAACAGAAGCTTTCTTGCAAGGAGATAGTGAAAGCACCTTAAAGGGCAGAGAGTTGGGGACTTACCAAGCTTATAGAGCAGGTTGTATGAACTGTTTTGTTGTTTTGTTTTGTTTTTTAAGATTGGCACCTGGGCTAACAACTGTTGCCAATCTTTTTTTTTTTTTCCTGCTTCGATCTCCCCAAACCCCCCCTGTACACAGTTGTATATCTTAGTTGCACGTCCTTCTACCTGTGGGATGTGGGACGCCACCTCAACATGGCCTGACGAGCAGTGCCATGTCCGATCTGAACCCTGGGCCGCCGCAGCAGAGCGCGCGAACTTAACCACTCGGCCACAGAGCCGGCCCCTGAACTGTTTTGTTTAACAAATGTCTGCATGTGCATCAGAATTTGGTCTAAGACTGGCTTCCATTACAATCTCACATCCAGATTATGGGGAAGTAATTAATCCTCACCCACCTCGACTTCTTTGGTGGCTATAATTATCTATGGGAAAGAACCTGAGAGTTAGACCTGATCAAATTAGACCTGGTCAGTTAGCAAGAGTAGCAGATACATTCTCTTTGTCCCTTAAAACATTTTTAAAACTCTAGAAAGAAATTTTTAATGGTAACAGGCTTCAAAAATTTAGATTTCTGGTTTATCCTGAAATCTAACAACCCTGGGCCCACATTCCCACATGGCAACTGTGTGCTGGAGTGCAGCAGCAACTGCCCCCTTTTAGGTTGGGCGTGCCCTCTCCAGTTTGCCACTGTCCCCACACTATCACTTATGTGGACATTATATTCCCTACCTGGACACTAGAGGCA